CCAGAGAAGGAGTATAGCAAATACAACGGCTTTGACACCTCTTCAAGGCTACAGGACAGAATGATGGGTTAGGGATCTCATGGATGTTAGAGCGTCTGACCTCAAGAAAAGAGCAAACACAGGTTCACCCCAGGAGAACAAGGTTGGTCAACACAGGAAACTTAATGTAAGACACCAGATCAACTGGATAAAGAGCAAAATCAACACCCCAAGACATGGAAAAAGCACTTGACAAATGTGATGCCCATTAGATAAAGGCACTCAGTAAACTAGAAACAAATTCCCTGAGCTGAAAACAAGACGGCTCAGCAGGTCAAGGAGCCTATAGCTAAGCTTAATTACCTGAGTTTGATCTCCAGGACCCATGTAGGGGAAGGACAGACATGACTCCCCCAAGTCGTCCTCTGACCTCTGACATCCATATGTGCACACACAGAGACAAATAAATCAAGGTTTTTTTTTAACTTTCCCAACATAACAATTAGAACTACAAGATGTGTGAAAACTGAATGCTTGCCCTGTGATAAGGAAGAAGCAAGACAGAAATTACTACTCTGCACTGTATTTGTGGTTCTATCCCCAGCAATTAGGCAAGGAAATGGAACAAATATATCCAGATCAGAAGACAAGTAAAATTCCATTTGCAATGCCATCGCTTTGAGTAGACAAAACCCTACAGGATTCACAAAAAGCTAGAGTAACTGAGCTCACCAAAGGCAGTGTGTAAAAATTAATTATACTTCCATGCCCTTGCTCTCAACATCAAAAAAAAAAGAAAAATCCACGTTCAATAGCATCAAAAACAACAAAATACTTAATACACTTAGCAAATGAAAAGTGTAAAATGTATACTGTAAATTATTCAAGAGATTAGTGACATGAACTAAATAAAACCTGAATATATAGATGCATGGGTCTGAAGACTTACTTATCATTAAGTTAGTGCTCGCTGGGTATGGTGGTACACTCAGAGGCAGAACCCAGTCGATCTCCGTGAGTTAGAGGCCAGCCTTGTCTACACAGCAAGTTCCAGTACATCCAGGGCTACAACACAGAGTCCCTGTCTCAAAAAGAAAAAGATGTTAATATAAGATTGAACATTCTCTATCAAAATTTCAGCTAGCCTCCACGCATACGATGACAGGCAGATCCTAAAATACAGTAATTCAAGGCCCAAAAGGGCCCCAATTACCTGGCTCACCAATAAAATGATAACCACAATTTCAAAGTAGTCAAAGAATATGAACAGACTGCTCTTCAGATGGTCAAAAGTGTTCAACACTACTGAATGCGGTGGTTGACACGTGCAATCCCAACACTCAGGAGGCAGAGGAAGGGGGACTGCCATGAATTTGAGTTCAGCCCACACGTAAGTGTGCAATTGTACCCTCCAAAGAGAGACGAGGGCAGAGGGAGAAAAAAGATGTTTACCATCATTCATCACAGTAAGTCTGCACAACAGCAATGATGGGTGGAGCCGTAGCTCAGGGGAAAGCAATCGGCTTCCTGGGCAGGCTTGAGGGCCTGGGCTCCACCCCAGCACTGGAGAAGGAAAGGAAAAAGAGGCCACAAGACTATCACTCCTCACCCATTTGAACGGTGCCGGTCAGGGGCCGGACATGACTCAGCAGTTAAGAGTGATCTCTGTTCTTGCAGAGGACCCGGCACCCACACGTGGCTCACAACTGCCTCTATCTCCAGTTCCAGAGGACGGACATGGACACACAGACACACGGACACACACACACACAATTTGTTTGTCTGAGACAGGGTTTCAGATAGCTGGCTGGCCTGAACTCACTATGTAGAACTGACTGATCTCAAACTCACAGGATCCACCTGTCTGTACTGGACATTTTGAGTGCTGGGATTAAAGGCACAGGCCACCACAAAAACAAAAAAAAAAAAAAAAAGCAGACAGCAACAAGTACAGACATAGATGTGGACATGTGAACTGGCACCGTGGCTTTGGAAACAATTCGATAGTTCCTTTAAGAGTTAAGTATAAGCCAGGCAGTAATGGCGCACACCTTTAATCCCAGCACTTGGGAGGCAGAGGCAGGTGGATCTCTGTGAGGTGAAGACCAGCCTGGACCACAGAGTGAGTTTCAAGACAGCCAGAGCTACACAGAAAACCCTGTCTCAAAAGAGAGAGAGAAGAAACTGAAATATGGCTATCCTACTCGTGCAATTCCACTGGTAAGCATATACTCAATAAAACTGAAGACACAGCCTCATGAAAACTAGTTCACGGGACTATAGGTGTGGCTCAGGGGTAGAGCACATGTCTAGTATGCATAAGACACTAGATTCAACGCCCAGCACTGTAAAAAGGAAAAAATAAATAAAAAGACAAAATTATGCTAAGGTAAAAACTGTCACATGCATCAAAGAAAAAAAAACTGTATGATTCTATTTATATGAATGACCAGAATGGGCAGCCTAGAGAGACAAGGTAAACTTATAGTTACCAATAGCTAAAGGGGATATGAAGTTGGCGGATGAAGAGTGAGTTCTGACGAGGACATGATTAGAGTGGGAGCCAGGGTGGGGGAAGGATCCGAAGAGATGGCTCAGTGGTCAAAAGCACTGGCTGCTCTCGGCAGAGGACCCGGGTTGGGTTCCCAGCATCCACATGGCGGCCACAACTGTCTGTTACTCCAGCTCCAGGGATCAGACGCCCTCTGCTGGCCTCCAAGAGCTCCTGCATACATGCAGTGCACATAAAACTCGTGTGCATACACATACACAAAAAAATGTTTTTAAGTAAATCTAAAATAATTTTATTTGGGATAAAAATGCCCTAAATATCAGTGACAGTTATACAACTCTGATTATTAAAAACCATCCAACCATTCAGTCAACAAAGTATTACAGAATCAGAGTCCAGGCCTCTGAACATCTCCCTCCCCCGACCTCAGTGTTCTACCCCGAAGGCTTCTGGAGCGCAGACGGTTCCCCAGATCATGAGGAGCCAAGAGGCACACTAACTGGGAAAGAGTCCATCTTTGTAGACATGTGGCTAGGGCAAGGACTACTTAAGCTACACATGTGTCTCCCTTTCTCCCTCTTTCCAAACAGAAATCCCACAGAGCTGAAGGTATGCATCCAAACGACATCCCCAGTCTGTGATGAGAATCACACGGCTCCAGTGCTGGAGCTGAGGCCAAATAGGATGCAAGCGTTCAATTATGCCCAGTGAAATGAAACACACAGGACAAGCTCTCAGGGTGGGAAAGGAGGCCACACTGTCATCTGCCACACAGAGCCCACCCTCTGGATTTGAGCTCCCCCTCCTCCGTTTCAGTCCAAGGTTTGGAATGAGTGCCCATCACTGGTCTGCCGCATCGTGGATGCAGGCTTGGTTAGTAGACTCCTCTGGTCCCGACTAGTTCAGGTAACATTTAAAATCCAGTGAGAATAAGATCCAAGCGTTCTGCTCCAACCATACGGATATCATACTGTGTGTGTCTGTCAGAGTAGGGGTCTCACTATGCTGATAAGTCTGTGTCTGTGTGACTGCCAGCCTAGGGGTCTCATCACCTACAATAAGAAAAAGTCTGCCCAAGCTAGAGCTGAGAAAACTGGAGCCAGAAGTAAAAGGGGGAGGAGCCTGAGACCGGAACTGGCTCTTATGCCTTTGGCTTCACTAACACCACCTCAGCTCCATTCCAGCCTCTTCCACGAGTCCAGTTTTCCCTTCTCAGCTGAAAGGAATGCCCATTTGTACACTGGAAGGCACTGGAATTCTACCACGTTGGGAAAGCAGCCTGCAGCAAAAGGCCTTCCTCTCTGAGGCTGCCAACGGGTGTTCAAAGACCACCCCCCATACAGTCACTCTGCGGATCCAGCAATGACTGCGGCTTGGTCCTGATGCTTCCTCTCAGCCTCTGGCATGGCATCATTATGCGCTTGCCTGACCCTAGTTCCAGCAGAAAACTTCCAGAAAGGTCTATCCATGTGGACAGTTACCCACAGCCCTCCACAGTGCACATGTGAATTCCTGGTCACACTTAACATGCTGCCACAAGACCAGGTAGGACTGAGATCTGTCCACTCACAAGACACAAGCACAATATGGTCAGAATCCCACAAGTAAGTCGGGCTGCGGTTTCTCGTGGGTTCACTGGAGCCTCAAACTGGTCTTAGAGGACGGGTAAGCCTCTGTGGATTACCACAGTTTTAATTCTGGTCTTTATGTGCTTATCATTCCTCACTTTTAATAGCTAAGTGTGCGTGGTTTGGGGGGAGGATTTAAAACATGTTCAACACGAGGTTGAGAAATAATCTCTGCACTTCCTGTGTCCAAGAGCAGGTTCCTGGTGGGATTTTCCGGAAGGTTATGCCAATCTATTTCCTGATACAGCCTCAGAGACCATTTGGGAGGGGAGGGCCCCGCGGCCGCCTGTCTCTGTGGAGGGGTCAAATCAAGCGGCAAAATGCAGACATCAGAACGGTCAGGGTTGTAACTTTAGGATGCCGCGGGGGGTGGAAGGGCGAGGGCAGGGTCACAACCACCTCTGGGTACCCGGGGTGGATTCAAGAGGGACCAACTTCCTGCAACAGCAGGGCCTTCCCTCCGGCTCGGGGTAGGTGAAGATCGCGGCTCGCCCCCAGCCGGGCGAGCCAGTTCCTCCGGCACACTGGTCCCGGGACGGGCTCCGGCCGCCCGGAGGTGCCCTCCGCCCCGCCGGAAGCGAGCTGAGTCCTGCCGGGCTGCACCGATCGATCCCCGGCTCCAGTTCGGAAGGCTCCGGCCAGTCTCGGCCATCCCCCGACGGCCGCGGGCCCGCCGCTGCTCGCCCTCTCTTCCCTACCCTCCCGGGTGTGCAGCTCGCTCGCGCGCCCGGACGCCGGCCGGCCAGCCGGCACAGTCCCCTCACCTTACTCGCGGCGGCTTTCTGGAGGCTGCCATTCGGCGGTGACGTGCCCCAGCCCACGTCAGGGGAGCGCAGACCAGCTGATCACCGGCGGCCAGGCGCGCGCACCCGGCAGGCCACGCCCCCCTCTGTGGCGTGCTCACGCAGGGCCCCGCCCAGGTGTAGGCCCCGCCCTCTCGCCGGAGGGGGCGTGGCCAGGGGGCAGAGTTCCGAACCCCTGCAGGCTGTGCAACCATTTGGGGTGAGGGCGCCTTGATGCCGCGCGTCCGCGCCTCTCTCCCTTCCCCTCCTCCCCCGAGGAAGGAGAAGAGTTTTGCCAGCTAATGAGGCTGCTGTGCATCCCGGGAAGGTTCTAGACTTCAGGTCAGCTTAGACGAGTGGGTCGTGGCCAGCTCTGGAAGAACTTATTTTAGGGATATAACTTGCTGAGACCTTAGAGATGTCACCCAAGTGATTTTTTTATTCAAACAGCTTCAAAACCTGCTGCTGCTCTCTTCACTGAGGTGACAACTACTGAGCCCTTCAATGTTAATGCTGCCAAACCTAGCTCCTAACCCCAGACACTTAAAACGTTCTCCAAATAGGGCTTTTCCATCTCTGTCGGTGGCTACTCCATGCTTTAAGGGCAAAAATCCTGAAATGGTGTCTGCCTCTTTCCCAGTCCATGTCCCTCACAAATCCGCTTGGTTCTGGCTTCAAAACAGATCCCTAACCCACCCACTTTTCATCATCTCTGTCACCTATCTGATGATGTCACTTTCACAGCACCTCTAGGACACCTGCACAGCAGCCAGAACAAGCCTACCCCGAGGTTCCCTGTGGTGTTTACTGTAGTCAGCTTGCCACACGCTGTAATTTACCTGGGTGAAGCACCCCGGGGCTTGTCTGTGAGGATTGTCTGGAGTGTTTAATATGGGAAGACCTGTGGACAGAGGACCCTGGACCATCTAAATTGGTGGGAAGGAGCTCTCTGCTCTTGGCGGTGGATGTAATGACACAGTCCTCTCTTGCTTCCGTCCGCTATGCCTTCCTGCATGACGAACTACAACCTGGAACTGTGAAGTCAAATAAATCCTTCCCCCCCCCTCAAATGCCTTTGCCAGAATAGTTTATCACTATAAGAAAAGCTAAGACAGTCCCCATTTCGTCCAGGTTGAAATCCCAGCTCACGCCTAGCTCACTGCTGGCCTTCAGTGTCCTGGAAAAGGCTGAGCACACTCACAGTCCCTTCCTCCCAGTGTCTCCTCAGTGAGACCTACTAAAACTGCAGGCTTCAGAGCCTGCTATTCTCCTCACGGTTTTTTGTTTTCTTTTGTTTTGGTTTTTTGCCATTTTCATAGGACTCTACTTTTTAAAAGTATATTCTGCCCCTTGCTTTCTACCCTACACACATACCATAGCCATCAAAGCAATGTTGATTTGGGGGCGGGGTGTTTAAAAGTGAGTGATAGCTGACATTGAGCAAATGCTCACGTTTTCTGCAGAAACGAATGTCCCCAGATTGCACACTTCTCCCCAGCAGGGACAGCGGCTCTCTTGTTCATTGTTATGACCCTAGCGCTTATAGCAAGCAACACCTGACACTAAACGAAATTGGACACATATTTTAAAGCTGATCAGTGCCCCAAGTCCTGATACACCGTGTCAAACAGGTTCTGCTGTTCTCCAGTACTGAAAGTTCCAGTTCATGTTGAGTGAGCACCTAGACAATCAGAAAAGAACGTATGCGGTACAGCATGTCTGTTCGTTTCCTCAAGTTTATGGAGCCAAAAAGAGAGACTGTAAACAAAGTGACTAGCTCCTGCCCACACCCAAAACATAGCATGAGAGAACACCAAGGACCAGTAGGAGTTCTTAGTGAAACCAAAAGGCGGCGAGCATTTCATAGTCATGTTGCCAAGGAGAAAGAAGTTGGCTCAGAGTTTATGTCATTGGCTTTAGACTTTAAAAAGACGGCACTGGGTATTCCCTGAACTAGACTTGAATTCCTGTTTACAAGACAGCAACGCCACCTTCGTGGTCTTGAAGTTCTTGGGGGAAATCCCAAGAAGAAGGCTCTGAGAATAATTGCCAGAGGGTGAGAGCAGGAAGGGTTAACTGTGGTTTGGGCCTGTAGACCTCATGTCTTTGTAGGTAGACACTCTGACACAGACTGATCGCTATCTATCTAACCCAAGACAACCCAAAGCACCAGGAGGCAATTTGTGCTCGTTTTACTGTTTTCAAAGACTGAGGTTTTTCGGAGAATCAAGTGCATTGCCCAGAGTCCTTGAGCTCATACGTGATGAAAGTTAAACAGCTAGCGTTCTGGCATTAGGATGTTCTTAGCTCCCACACACAAAACCAACAGTTCTAGGTAAGGGGTCCCTGAAGTAGCCTCATCCAAACTGCCAGCCTGCTTAGTGGAAAGAGGGAGGCAAAGGGTTGTAGCACCTGAATGTAAATCAGATGGGTCTTAGAAACAGTAAGTTCGTGGAAACATTGTAAATTGAATTGTGTCCACTCCCACCCACACCCCAAAAATCATAGACTATTCCCAGTTCCTCTGATCTTATTTGGGCACGTGATAATCCTTACAGAACAGGCAGGTCCCTACTCCAATATGACTAATTATAACAGCAATCTGGACTCTCGGTGCGAGCAGAGAGAACGCCATCTGAACACAAAGTGGGAGAACAGAGTGATACTCTGCAAGCTGAGCACAGAGATCACCAGGAGCCACACAAAGCCAAGAGAGACACGTGACCAGATTCCCCCTTGAGGAAAAAATTACGTGATCCCCGCAGATACCTTGATCTTATACGTCCTGATTCCAAAACTTCATGACAGTAAGTTTCTGGGTTTTGAGCCAGAAGTTTATGTCAGTCTGTTGTAAAAGTTCTTAGAAAACTAACCTCAAGCAAGCTCTACAAGTCCAAGTGTTGTTTGGGCCGCCCACCATTGGCTCTGATGATCATTCTATCCCTGGAGCCCAAGCGTCACTCCTGCCCTCCCTCTTTTGTTTTCAGTCTGTGTGGTCCAGGTGAGGAGATATTTGAGTCCCGGGGAGTACTGTGTGGCCCAGACACAAACCAACAAGGACAGTCTGCTAAGGGATGGGTGAAATGCGGTAAGGTTTGCATGATAAGGCTGGAACGGGACCTTGCTCTCCTCCACCAGGCAGCAGCAGAGGCTGTACTCCTGAGCTGACCATGGGATCTCCCAGTGGTACCCAGGAGGCAGAAGGAAGCAAGGACGGAGGAGAAAAACAGACCGCTTAACAGCGCCTGAGCCCTGAGTCTTGCTGCGCCTTGGACCACATCTCCCGTTACACCTTTCAGATGTCAGCCAAAAAAAAATTCCCTTTTGTTCTTAAGTCATTTTGACATGGGCTTTCTGTCACGTTTGATTAAAAGACTCCATACTGAATTCTTTAAATAATCACTTGCACAGTTGGATTTTATGCAGGAGTAGTTACAGCTTTATTAATAATGGTGAACTAACACAAGGAAAAGAGATTATAAATCTTTTACAATACATAACTGTAGACTTAGAGGCAAACTGTTATAGTGTAAATGCTTTTTCAGAATAAAAGCAAAATGACCTGTAGTGAGTGACTCGAAGCTTATCTTGGGCTGGCAGAAACTGAAACCATTTCTCTTTTCCCTGTTTTCTTTCTTGTTGCTTTGTTATTTGTTTCTTTCTTCTTCTTTTCCCCCTCTATCTGGCTAGAGAGATAGTTCTTAGAGTAAAGAAATCTGCCTCCAAGCCAGACAGCCTGAGTTTGATGCCTTGGCCCAACCTGTTAGAAGGAAAAGATGAAAAACCTTTCTCAGTTTTCTCTGTCCTCCACACGCACAGTGACACACGCTTGCCTGTACATAGACTTTTATTTTCATTGTAAGTAAAAAAGACTGGGAATTTAGCTCAGTGGTAAATATGTCTTGCATGCACAAGGCCCCGAGTTCAGTCTCCATTGCTGCCAAGAAAGGGAGAAGGGAGGGAGGAAGAGAGGGAGGGAGGGAGGGAGGGAGGGAGGGAGGGAGGGAGGGAGGGAGGGAGGGAGGGAGGGAGGGAGGCAGGGAGGGAGGCAGGGAGGCAGGGAGGGAGGCAGGGAGGCAGGGAGGGAGGGAGGGAGGGAGGAAATGTAAGTACTCCTCATTGTGCCTTTCTCTTTAGGAGGCAAAGCGGAAGAAATGAGCATCTGCCAAACCTTGGCATTCCGATAAATACTGATTCCTCAGGAATCAAGTTGATAACAGGTTAATATCCTGACCATGTACTGATGGGGGGTGACGGCAAAATTGCTTCAGTAAATTCCCACATTAAAGGACTTTGAAAATGAAATCCTTGCAGTAGACCAAATGAAAACACAGCTTCTGAGAAGCTTTTCATGCTTTTCCAAATATTTTTTATGTGCTCTAATGAAAGTGATAGTTATAGGAGCCATGATGGGTGAGGTCCTCCCAAATTGATATAATATGCTTTTTTTTTTGTAAGCCTAACTAGAAGATAGGCCTATGGCTACACCCTAGAGAGGAATGAGAGAAGAAAGCTGATGTTCAGGATGGGAGAGTCTGCCAAAACAATGTGCTGTCAATGAAGGGTGGGAGACCGCGTTTGGCTCCGTTCACAATCCACTTACCCTTTGTCTTCAGTGAAAACTGAACTCAGACCCTTTCATATCTAAGTTCCATTTGCTCTTGGCAAAGTTCAGTTCTCTGGTTCAAATATTAAAAAAAAAAAATTTAAGCCTTATGAGGCCCACAGGGTTTCTTGGACATCAAATGACTGTTGCGAAAACAGCATGTTGGTGAGCTAAGTGTGATTGAATCCCAAACACACAGAGTAAGTGCTTTCCTGAGCACACAGACCCTCCCATGCTGCTGGGGGGAAGAGGGGGGGCAGTGTGTTGCCTGTCTCTCCCTTTAAGGGGCGTTCTCTACAGTGCTTTGTCTTCTCAAGACGCCTTCCAGTAGAGGAGGAAGGCCTTTGCCAAGTAGAAAGGGAAGCGAGCACGTTCAGCTGTTGATGGTGTTGACTTCTCCCAGGCCCTTCCTGGTTACACTTAAACACAGGCTGGGGACAGAGTTAATGTGGCAAGAGGAGGAGGAGGTCCGGAGATGATCTGAGTCCTGGTTCTGCCACTAGCGGGAAGGCTAGCTTCAAAGCGGGCACAATACTTCCTTCCCTGACTCCCTAAGGAGTCTACTCTTTGACCCCTTCCAGACCTTCTGTGTGGCTGTTAAGACCTATGAAGAGAATCTAAAGTTCGGAGAGAGGCTCTGTGTGGGCTCTTTTGTAACGGTTTTATTGGGGAAATATTCCCATACCATACAATTAGCCTGTTTACAATGTGCAGCTCAGTGGGTTTGGGAAAGTCACAGCCATCACCACAATCAATTTCAGGCAGTTTTCTTCATCTCAGAAAGAAATCCATACTCTTTGTTTTTTGGTTTTTTTTTTTTTTGGTTGTTGTTTTGTTTTGTTTTGTTTTTACGAGACAGGGTTTCTCTGTATTGTTTTGGAGGCTATCGGTCCAGCCTGGCCTCGAACTCACAGAGATCCGCCTGCCTCTGCCTCCCAAGTGCTGGGATTAAAGGTGTGCGCCACCACCGCCCGGCTGAAATCCATACTCTTTGAATTCAGCTTCCACCCTCTACCCTGATCCTCCATACCCTAGGGGACTACTTACTAATCTCTCTGGGTATATTTCTTATCTAGGAATTGTATATAAATGATATTGGATATCATGAGAGTTTTTGACTGGCCCTTTTCATTTACTATGTCATCTTTAAGATTTTGGGGTTTTGTTTTGCTTTATCTTGTTTTTTGTGGGTTTGGTTGCTGTTGTCTGGCTTTTTGTTGTTTCATTTTTGGGTTTTATTTGTTGTTTCATTTTTCAAGACAGTGTCTCTATGTAGTTCCATCTTGAAACTCCCTCTGTAGATCAGGCTGGTCTCATACTCAAAGATCCACCTGCCTCTACCTCCCAAGTTCTGGGATTAAAAGTGTGTACCCCCAGGCCTGACTTTGTTTTTTTTATTTCTAATTACTTGTGAGCGTCTGTGTGGGGGTATGTATATGTGAGTACAAGTGCCCTTGAAAGCCAGAAGAAGGCATCAGATCCCCTGCAGCTGGACTTTCAGGTGACTCGGAACACCCTAAAACGGCTTTTCAAAGTTTATCCGTGTTGTAGCATGTACCAGTACTTAATTCCTTTTTAACTTCTGTTAAGAGAAGCTTTTTCTTTGAGAGAAGCCTTCCCGCCAGCTTGGTTCTAGAGCTGCATCAGTCCCAAATAAACACACAGGAGGCTATATTAATTATGAAGCTGTTGGCCTTGCTTGTTTCTTATTGGCTAGCTCTGACTTAAGTATTTATCCCATAGTTGTTAATCTAAGTGTTTCTCTTACTGGAGAATAGTTTCCGGGCTTCCTACCCCATGACGTTACATCTCGACTCCTTGTTTCTTCTTCCCAGAGTTCTCCTGGACTCCTAGTCCCACCTATCTAGATTCCTATTGGCCAGCAGTGCTTTATTGACAAATGCACAGGACTTCCCCCAACAAACTTCCAAATGCACTAGATAATATCTCAACAGTGAGAGATTATCTTCACCAGTGTATGGACATCTGTGATGCCCACTTTGGGGTACATGAATACAGTGGTCTGAATAAGCATGTTCTGTAGGGAAAAGGGACCAGTCAAAGAAACACACCCTGAGCAGAGCCAAAGAAACACACTTTGACCCTGCAACCAGAACCAAAGAAATGTACCCTGACCCTGAAACCAGTGCCAAAAGAACACACTTTGTCCTTGGAATCAGAGTCAGTGAAAGAAATGCACCCTGGCCCTAAAATTGGAGCCAAAAGGCTAAAAAGGACCAGAGAAAGAAACACACTTTGGCCCTGAAACCAGAGCCAAATCTGACCCTAATCCTGTGCAGAAAACTAACCAATCCCTGAGCAGAGCTCTAGCCAATCTGAGCTCAGCACTAAAATCTGACCAATCCCCACCCTGGAAGCCCTATATAAACCCTGTGTCTGTTCAGCTTGTGGCCGTTCACACTACAGCAGCCACTCTCCTGGATCCTTTCCTCCCAATAAACCCCTTGGATGAGCTTTGGGTGAAGATCTTCTTTTGCTCAGCTTGCTGCGGCAGAGCAGAGGTGACCCTGGGCAGAGCAGAGCGAGCAGGGCTGTAACACTTTTGCCGGGGAAACCTTCCCTTGGCAGAGTGGAATTGTTACACTCCGCTCCTGCTCTCAGCTCTTGCTCTCCACTCTCTGCTCTCCTGGATCAGAGCTAAACTGTAGCAACCTCCTGCAGAGCAAAACTGCTACACTAGGGGAACATCCCCAGCTGGAAGACCCTGCTTGAGTGGAGCCGATACACTGGGAAGCCTTTCCCTGGGGCAAGGCTGTAAGCTGCTAAGCTTACTACAACCTGTGGTGGTCCTTGGCTCCTGAGCTCCAGGATACCTTTCCACCTGAGCTGTGTAACACTCAGTATTCCCATTTCGTTGCAAAAGCCTTGTAGGTGTTTAACAAGCTAAACCCATTAGCTCAGGTCCTTCACCCCGCCACCATGATGAATGGCTAGAGAAAAGACCCCAAGCAACTTCGAGGCAGGGACCTTAAAAGGCAGCATAAGGGAGTGTTTAGGGGTATGAAACAGTCTCAGGATTGGTGTGCTTCTAAGTTTGGGCAATCTGCCCTGTGTTGATTGGTCAACTGGTTGTTATGGCCCATAGGCCTCCCAGGGCGGTTGCTATGTTCTGCACGTCACTGTTGTGCACTGTCCGTGAAGCACACCCAGAGTCGTAAAGCACAGCCCTGCCAGCTAACTTCTGATTGGTTCCTTGCCACGAGGAGGGCATCTGACCTTAGTGACCGGGACAGGAGCGGCAAGGTCATACAAGCACATGTTAGCCTGTAATGGCTGCTAAAACGGGGGACTGGTCACTACAGCAACACTTTAAAAGGAAGACTTTGCAGGGTGGCAGTGGCGCACGCCTTTAGTCTCAGCACTCAGGGAGGCAGAGGCAGGTGGATCTCTGAGTTAAAGGCCAGCCTGGTCTACAAAGGGAGTTCCAGGACAGTCAGGGTTACACAGAGAGACCCTATCTTGAAAAACAAAACAAAAAGAGCAGAAGCTTTCAATATGTAAATATCCTTATGATCAGATTCCTCTGATAACTCATGTAGCTTCAGAGACACTGCCCTTCCTTCTGTTCAGTAACAGTCAGGACCCAGGGAACAGCCCTGCCCCCCAAAGATGAGGCAGGCAGCCCTCCATCCCTTATGGGCTGCCATTCTCTCCCTGCCCAACATCTGAGCCCTCTTCCCAGAGAACCTAACAAAACATGGCCTGGGTTTCAACCCCACTGAAACTGTCCTTGCAATGGAATTAAACAGCTTCTTGCCAGAATGTTGTCACCTTTGGCACTTGAACAAACTTCCTCCCTGCTTAACACCAATTAGCAAGTCCTCCACGCTTGCTATTTTGCAATTTTGGTTTTTCAAGTCCTGGGGCAAGTCGTCGGGACTTGGCAGGATCTTGACAGTTCTGCTAGTACTGATGTCATGAGTGTCCCCTGCCATATGCATCCTCATTACTAACTCAAACCAGCCAACAAACAAATGGAGCCGAAAAACAGACCAACGGACTGTTGGAGCTCAAAACGCTGCTTAAAAATACCCAGGAAAAAATAAAATAAAACAGCTTAATGCCTAGGCCCACATCCAAGAATGAAAAATCACCATTTCTCATTATTAACCATCACTTGCCCTGGTCACAATTTGCCTCATAAAAGGCTGCTCTTGAAATCAACTGGGTACCTCTAAATCTATATACTAGTGAAATATTCGTGAGTGTGTGGAATGTGAGCCCCTAGGGGTGAGCACACGGCGGGGTACACCCATGCATGGAAGCCAGG